TTCCTGAATACCTCTTTGCCTATTTTCAAACCTTCACTACACTCAAGAATTCCTCCCACCCCACCCTGAGTCCTTTCTCAGATAATGGCCCAAACATATCCTTACCAAGAAAATGAAGGCAATGAGAAATGAACCCCATGACTTTCTGTCCCTGCACCACTCCTTTTATTAACATATGCACCTGAACCCACTCCATCTCCTTTCCTCTGAGCTGATCCCTACTGCCAGGGAACTCAATGTCTGGTTCCCATGTCTGCTCCACAATCTGGGCTTTGCTCCTACATTGATCTCCCTTGCTCCTCTATTTTCCATCTCCTCTTTTCTGACATTTTTCCTCTAAATGTATAAACACGCTTTTCTCTTCCCTTAGAAAAGGCACCCTCAAGTTATCACCGTAACTTTTATCCCTTCTTTTCATGCCAGCTCCATATACAGTGGGCTGTACTTGCCATCTCTACTTCCTTCCAAGGAAGTAGAGATAGCCATTAGACTTTTGAGTTTTGATCTGAATTCCCTACCAATACTTTTTTTTTTTTTTTTTGAGACAGAGTCTTGCTCTGTCATCAAGGCTGAGTGCAGTGGCGCGCTCTCGACTCACTGCAACCTCTGCCTCCTGGGTTCAAGCCATTCTCCTGCCTCAGCCTCCTGGATAGCTGGTATTACAGGCATGCACCATCACGCCTGGCTAATTTTTGTATTTTCAGTAGAGACAGGGTTTTACCATGCTGGCCAGGCTGGTCTCAAACTCCAGACCTCAGGTGATCCACCCACCTAGGCCTCCCAAAGTGCTAGGATTACAGGCATGAGCCACCATGCCCAGCCCCCTACCAGTACTTTATCGGAAAACCTAAACCCTTAAGATCTTCAATTTTAGTGCACTCCCAGCTCTGATGTTATACCTCTAGCCACCAGAGACAGCAGCCATCCCAGGTCCCACTCCAAGCTGCCCCAGCTCCATGAGCTGCCTACCAGCTCTGTCGCCTTGAGGAGGCTCCCATGTCTTCCAGGCGCACATCCCAACTGACTGTAACAATGAATATGTTCCAAGCCAAATACTCTGGACTATAACTTGCTGCTTTCACCTTTCTCTCGGCCACTTCCAGAACTAATGAGATCATGATCTCTGCCCATTTACTTTGGCCACCATCTAAAGTCCAAGTCCCCAAGGTCATTAGTTTGCACATGGCCCCTCATCTCCATTCTGCTCACTTCATATTTTACTCTGACTCCATTTCTGACTTCCAAACCTTCCACTTACCGTGCCATATAGAGTCAAGATCTATCATCAGAAAAACTCCTATATCCTTGACTTCTTTGAAGTTTATCTTAACCTCCTCCTCCTCCTTTTTCTCCTCCTCCTCCTCCTCCTTCTCCTTCGAGATGGATTCTCACTCTGTTGCCAGGCTGGAGTGTGGTGGTGAGATCTCAGCTCACCACGACCACTGCCTCCCAGGTTCAAGCAATTCTCCTGCCTCAGCCTCCCAAGTAGCTGGGATTACAGGCATGCATCATCACGCCCAGCTAATTTTTGTATTTTTAGTAGAGACAGGTTTCATCATGTTGGCCAGGGTGGTCTTGATTTCTTGACCTCGTGATCCGCACCCCTCAGCCTCCCAAAGTGCCGGGATTACAGATGTGAGCCACTGCACCTGGCCTGTCTTCTTCTAATGAAAACTAGGCTGTTGCCTCGGGGCTCTGTTTCCCTTGCAGATCTCCCAAAGTAAGAGCTATTTTTCTTCCTACAGCTCAAAGCCAGGGAATAGAATAGATGCCCAACTTGTTCACCCTTGCTGCTTCCAAATTGCTTCTTCCTCTTCTTCCTTTAAAAAACACAGCTCCTGGCCAGGTGCAGTGGCTCACGCCTGTAATCCCAGCACTTTGGGAGGCCGAGGCGGGTGGATCACAAGGTCAGGAGATCGAGACCATCCTGGCTA